AAAAAAATAGAATTTATTAATTTACTGAGTATTAATTAATTTAGAGAGGTTGTATAACATCATTATGTCGCGAGTGTAAAATTTTGTTCAATCTTTCTCAAAAATTTAACCGTGACTTGAATGCCATCCGTTGGCCCACAAAGGAGAATGAAGGAAGAATGAGTGGGGAGTTTGAAGCAATATTGAATTATTGATTCCCTCCCAATTCTCAACCCTCTGCCAAAAGACCTGCAATCAGATAGAATGATGGGCAGTTAATATCTTACTCCCTCATCAAAGCTGGATTGTATTTTCCCATTTCGTGCCTTTTGGTGGTTCCGTTTCATTTCCGCTCACAAAAGGGGGTATATTATCAGTCGGACAAGAACTTGGGTGCGTCATCTCGTTGTTATTTTCCCATTACTGGCAGCAAAAAGGTTTGGATTCTTGATTTTTCTACTTTCTGCGCTTTGTGATTGTGTTAAATTGTTGGACATTTTGTATTTGTGTTGAATTGGTGGACGTAAGTTGCCTCATGTAGATCAATTGCTACTTCTTTGAGTTCTAATTTCTGGCGTTGTTGTGAACAAATTGAAGCTATCCAGTGATTGGAAGTGCAGCTTATTTTCTGGGTAAATTTTATTATGTCCAGTAACCCTTTTGCTTGCAAGGTGTTTGATGTATCTCCTAATCTAACTGAAGAAAGCATTTGTGATTGTGACCTTTGTATCCGCTGACTGTATGAAATGAATTGAGCAGGGTAATAGAAATGTTGCAACGCCGCTAAGCAACCAGAGATTCAGCAAACCTTCAAAAACAAAAGAATGAATTGACCAATCTTGAAAAAAATGTGAAAGCTTCTTTAGAATGTGAGGAAACTCGTTGTCATGTCCACAATAATGTCGAACTCCCAGAGACAAGCAGCCGTAACTATCCTGCTATCCCAGATTCCTAAACTGCCGCCACTCAAAGCTCTCTCCCTCTTTAATGCCGCCACTCTTCAGGGTGGAGGACTCCAACTTGAACATGAACGCACCCACCATTCCGTTCCCGTCATCCTGCTCCACCACCTCCTCTCTTCTCGGAATCTCCATCAAGCTCAGTCTCTACTCCTAAAGCTTCTGTCTTCCAAATTCAACTTTTCCCTATTACCGGCTCAACCCCAATTCTCTTCCTGCCGCCATCTTTTGTACGAGACCATTATAAACGCATATGTTCAATACCAATCACCGGAGGATGCAATTTTATATGTTGATGAAATGGTGAATGGTATAGGGCTTGTACCCACATCGAAAACTTTTAATAATTTGTTGAAGTTCTTAGTAAAGTTGGGATTTTTTGATAAGGCTTGGACCTTATTTGATGGCATGAAAGGGAATAAAGTTGGGGTTTTTGATGAATATAGTTTCGGAATAATGATAAAGGGGTGTTGTGAGAATGGGGAATTGGAGAGAGGTTTTGAGGTTTTCAGATGGATGGAGGAAATGGGTTCACGTCCAAATGTGGTGATATTTACTAGTTTAATTGATGGTTGTTGCAAAAAAGGTGATATTGGGAAGGCAAAAGAGCTGTTTCTGAGAATGGAGGAGCTTGGTTTAGTTGCGAATCAGTTTACTTATACTGTTTTGATTAATGGGTTGTTTAAAAAAGGGTTCAAGAAGGATGGGTTTGAGTTGTTTGAGAAGATGAAGAATAATGGTGCATTGCCTGATCTGTATACATACAATACTTTGATTCATGAGGAGTGCAATGACGGCAGGATATCCAGAGCGTTTGAATTGTTTGATGAAATGTGTGAGGGGGGTGTAGCTTGTAATGTTGTGACTTATAACACTTTAATTCGAGGTTTATGTCGAGAAATGAGGGTGTCAGAGGCAGAGAAATTAGTCGATCAGATGAAAGGTTTCGGATTGAGCCCTAATTTGATCACATACAACACTCTTATTGATGGATATTGTAATGCTGGAAGGGTCGATAAAGCTTTTAGTTTGTTCAATGGGATTAAGTCTACTGGCCAAACTCCATCCGTGATTACATATAATACTTTGATTTCGGGTTTGTCTAAGATTGGAAATATGTCTCAGGTGACTGCTTTAGTCCGGGAAATGGAGGAGGAGAGAGGCTTCACTCCCTCCAAAGTAACCTACACAATCCTCATTGGTTCATTTGCCAGATCAAATGATATGGAGAAGGCGATCGAGATGTTTCACGCAATGAGCACTGCTGGTTTGGTTCCTGATATTTGTACTTATGGTGTCTTGATACATGGCTGGTGTTGCCAGGGTAACATGATGGAAGCTTCCAAGTTGTTCAAATCAATGGGAGATAACAATTTGGAGCCAAATCATGTCATCTATAATACGATGATCAATGGGTATTGCAAAGAGGGTAATTCATATAAATCCCTGATGATGATGAAACAAATGTGGAATTGTGGAATGGTTCCGAATGTGGCCAGTTTTAACATGACTGTTCAAGTTCTTTGCAATGATGGGAAGTTGAACGATGCTAAATATGTGTGCAATCTCATGATCAAGTGTGGTTTACAACCCTCGGTTGCTTTTGATATGATACATGAAGCTAGGTCATGAAATAGGAACAAGTTCATGGTTGTCAACTTAAGATACCCTACATCCTTTTAATCCAGGGTTAGGGTTGAAAATATGGGACAGGACTGGCAGGAAGGCGCTAATAGTAGTCAAATGATCTTTTCCAAGAAATTGGTAGCAGGAAAATTACTGTTCAATCTGCATTTGAAGGAGTATTCCATGTGTGATTTTCACTCATGAGGATATGCCAAGAAGTCAATAAGGTGGAGGGAATTGTCGGTTAAGCTATACTTATCTAAACATACTCTTAGTGGACTTTGGTTGGATCGGACAGTTTATGGTTGGTTGTCATTCACCTCCTCGCTTTGCTAATTTTTGTCCCTACCTTTCTTTGCTTTGTTTTACCATTTGCTTCTTCAAAAGCTATTATACTACCGCAGTCAAAATGGTACAAGAAATGGAAATGGCAGGGGTTGAGCAGCGGAATGCCTACTTGTGGTGAGCTGTAGAGATGCTTGACAATTGAGTCCTGGGCTCCTGGCTCACTGTTTCCTCTTTGATAGAATTCTGGGGTGATTCAACTAAGCAAGACGAAGATGAATCTACCAACAGAGAATTAGGGAGAAGATCGGTCGTCATCTAGGCTGGTACAATTGGATTCCTAATATATTCAAGGGGTTCAAAACCTGTTCTCAGCTGAAAATTGTGAAGGCAGAGTTTTAATGCTCAGATATAAATTGCGATGCGAGAGTTTTAGAGAAATGCTGAAGTGGCAAAGAGAGAAAATACTAGCTCTGGCCAAGGCTGCAATTCTAAATTAGCAGCTTTATCTCCAGCACGTCCAATCTCCAGCTCGTCCACCCAAAAACTGGAAATCTCAAGCTGTTTGACGGGCTATTACTCTTGCGGAGGGAATTCTGTTCGTTTACGAAGAAAGCTGAACTGCAATTGAGGTATAAGCTTGTTGTTACCCCCTTATGTTCTGTAAATATAGTTTTCCTTTAGATATTTGCTGGTACTATTGATGAATAAAAGCACCATTGTGTTTACCTTAGAAAGTGCAAATGTTGGGTACCACGTGGTTTGATTGAATTTTCAAAGTCGATAATGGCTGGCATTTTCTCATGAACCATATGTCTATATTTATATTTAGCGAGATATGCTCTGAAGTCGATGCTCTGAAGTTGATTTTCTTTTATTCACCCTTTTCGTCCTTTGAAATTTCTGAAGTTGGAGATTTAAGCTTTAATCATGTCAATAGCTAACAAAAAATGTTTCGGTGGCACTGAATGGTAACTTTGATGAGTTAAAAAATGAAGTAGATGATAGCCGTTCTTGCTTTCAGTAACAAGATGAAAACTTTTGAAGATTTCTTGATTGTTTGGATCTCTAACGAACTTAAATTTTAGGGTTCTGTTTCTTTTATTATGATATGATCAGCATGTGTACTCATAATTTCCTGTTTGGTGTGTATGCTTTTTCCGTGGCAGGCTCTGATCTAATTAGCTCCGAGAAGAAATGCTTGTGATAATCTGGTGCCGTGTCGATCAGCTGCAGCTTCACAATTAATCCATTCACCTTGTGTTAGTGCCATCTGGCAACAACTGGGGTTGAATCTACTTCAAAGGTCATGTTACAGCACACTTTCATGCTGCTCAATTCAATAACGCAACGCGATCAATTGCCTATGTTGTGTTAAGAAAGATTAAACAAAAAATTTATGCTTGAACCGAGTTGAGACTCACGTCTATTCAATGTTGTCTGTTGATGGTGAAAATTGTTAGTTATGATTTGCTTTGTGCTTGGTATATCTCAATATATTATAACACAATGATCTTTCCTTTTCAGATCCATCTTTCTTATATTGATCTTGACATTCTTGCTTCGCCAAAAAAAAAAAAAAAAAACCATTCTTGCTACCTTTTAATTTCCTGTGTAGAATCGCTGAAGGGGAAGTAAACACTGTCCAGTGATGTCAGATTCTTCTTCTAAATGGGAACTTCCAAACTTGCCAATGTGTAAGTCCGTCGTATCATTTGTTTTCATAGCAGCACCATGGCTCCTTTTTTTTCTATTTCTTTTTTTTTTTGGTAGGCTCATGGGATTTTGTTGATATTCAACACCTACACTATTGCATTTCATCAGATTGAAAGTTATATTGTGCCAAGTACATATATCTATAAAAAAAAAGCTTTTTCAAAAAAGGGGGGAATTATTTAAGGGAATAGTAAAATTTACTAATTAAAAAAGACCCTTTTCGGATGCTTGTAGGAAAAGTATTTTTTTAACTCCGGTTATATAAGTCCAAAATCTATTTAAAGAGAGAAAAATTCAAAAAAAGGAAAATTAAATTAAAGTTAAAAGTTAAAACCCTTTCTTAAGCCCTACTCCACGTTCGACTTCTTCAAGTAGCTCCGCCCCTGCGCACGGTGGCTTAAAAGTTCCACCCAAATTCCCCGCCGTGATTCAATCATGTCGGAATTCTTTTCGGGATCGAGAGAAAAAACCCAAATTCAAGATGACAAGATCAACTACACCCCGACTCGCGTCTACAATCCGTATCAAAACATGGAAGACCCCTCCAAGTTGCAGCCCTTTCGTGTCCTGTACGAACTTCCCACGTCGCCGGAGTTTCTCTTCGAGGAAGAAGCCCTCAAGCGACGCCGTTCCATGTCCGAGAATCTCACCTACGGAACGGGATGGGCTTATTTAACCGGAGCTTTGGGCGGCGGGATCTACGGGACCGTTTCCGCTTTGAAGGCGGTGGAAACAGGGGAGTCTTTGAAGCTTGTGATCAACCGGGTTTTGAATTCCGGCGGTTCCGGAGGCCGGAAATTCGGGAACAGGTTGGGTGTTATGGGGTTGATGTTTTCGGTCCTCGAGAGTTCGCTCTATAACCTTAGAGGAGAAGACGATGCTCTGAATTACGTGGCGGCCGGGCTTGCAACCGGAGCAATTTTCAAGGCAGCGGCTGGGCCGAGATCAGCTGCCGTCGCCGGAGGTCTTGGTGCTGTGCTGGGCGGAGCGGCAGTCGTCGGTAAGAAGGTCGTGAAGAGATATGCACCAATCTGATCAAAGTTTCATGATCGTTATCACTATTGTTACTTTTAATGTGGGAATTAATTCAGGGGCGTTTTCTTCTGTTCTTTGAACAATTGGATTCTGGTATATTATTAGGAATTTTACTGATCAGTTTTAATCAAATAGTTGAATGTAATTAAGTCGTAGCATTACTGGCAAGAATTGAACCACCATGGATCCAATCGGCGGCTACTATGAAATCCCCATATTATATTTTGCCTTTCTCTTTCAATCCTTCTTTTTACTTGGGTTAACATTTGAATCCCTATTAAGACCATTAATACTAGCAATAGCACCTCAATTAGTCATGAATACACCGAGTAGTCCTGCCAATCGAATTTTGATGGCAGGAATGGACTTTATCAGATGAAGTAGCAAACGAGATGAGATTGTTTGAAGTGAAAACGTTGTTCGCTTGGAATTGATTTGTTTGATTTTTTTTTTTTTTAGAATTTAGGGTACTTGAATTTAATAATAATCAAACAAAACAACTAGGGTGGGAGCCCATAGATGTATTATTCTAGCATCCATCTCAATATTTTTTTCCATAAGGATTTTATATGCTCGTCAACAGATTCAGTATACCAATGGTTGAACAAGAACATCAGGCTAAAACAATTGTTGAAAACTTGTCAAAATTCTGTAATCTTCATGCAGGATGCAATTTATCGATACTCGTATTTATGATAGCTTCCAAAAAAGTGTGCCTACAGAATCATTTCCATGAAAACGGCCAAGTGCTTTGATTTCACAGTAAGCTTTTTCCAACTATATCCAGAATCTAACCCTCTTACTGAAACTTAATCCGAGTCTCTCCTTTCAAAAAAGAAATTAAAAAAAAATAATAATAATCCTGAGTCTCTGGTAATCTTTTTGCAGGGATTGCCCATAAAATGCCATTGCAGCTTGTGATGTTCAGATCAAAAACTTACCACTTCATCCCGCATTCACAAACCCAACACAAGGTTGAAGCAGGTGTAGAAAAAGTCTAGAATTTCGTAATAACTTCCGAAACGTTGCTTCATCAGTTCAATGTTTTGTGAAATGCGACCTGCCGCAGAGACTAGATTAGTGATGCTAGAGACCAACATAAACGAAAACAAGAAGCTGAAACAAAGAATGTGATGCACACAGTTCAACTTTTCACAAACAACCAGATTGAAGAGCACATTATGTATACTCCATAAATACACATACATGCACGTAAACGCCTACGTGATATACGTGGAAAACTTGGCCTACTACTATTATTACTTACAATAGCAAGATTATTAAGAAATGATCATGTTTCCTGATCTAATGCAAATCATTACCAAAATTGTCAACTAAATAAGGAATTCAAACAACATAAATACTTACAGAGGTTGATGTCTTCAACAGCTCCCTTATTGCCATAGTTGCATAGCAAGAAGCAGGAAGTGTAAAGCTTAATCTAAGAGCTCTTTGAATCTCCTGGGTGTCAGTGCTGCCTGATGTTTCAATATGGTTTGATCCAGCTCTATCAATTTCTACCTCCTCAACTTCAGATGACTCAACAACTGCTTTTTCAGATACGACTGGTGGAACTTCATCATGTTCAATAAGACGCTTTCCATTGTCATTCACAACCATGGGATCTCTTTCCCTAGCCTTGGCAATTTGGTCCATATCTGTTTGAGCCAATGGAATATTTCCATCTTGGTATGTGAGCAGCTCCCTGCATAAAGAAGTATAAAACAATCCACCAGAAACATTTAGTTGTCTGAAGTTAACATTAAAGGAAAAAAGGATACCTTGGTTAGTATACCAAACGGGGGAGAGGGGAGGGGGAAGTTGGGTGGGTTTGGACAAAAATCCAAACAAAGCAAATGAGAGATTAGTATACCATTTATAGTCCTTTGGCTTTTGAAACACTCGCCTATAACCCCCAGTCATGGTTGTTATCGAGAACTCCCTACAGAATCACATTATTTCAGAAAGTATATCGAAAGCCATTAGCAGAACAGTAATAATCAATAAATATTATGGGTTCTTCTATAGAGCTATTCTAAAAAAGCATACAGTAGGAAGGGTACTCCAGGAGCAATCAGTTTACTCTTCCAACAAACCCAAGCCTCTTCTAGCAGAACTAGCAACTATGCGACAGAAATACTAAGACGTAATGTACTTCATGACCTTAAAACAAAAAATATAACTTACTTGACATTGTGCACGCTTTCAGTCAAGTTGATAGAATCCTGGCAACAACAACATTCCATTAGAGAACAAGAAAACATGACAAATGGAGTCACATGGACTCTTCTATTCAGGAGATAACACCAGTGTCGGAATGCGTCAATACAGTAAAATTTTTGTATGTTGACTTTTATGTACAATACAAACACATACAAAAACATAAAACATATGAAGAGAGAGTGATGCAGACATCATTGAAGCTTAAGAGGAATGGATTTGATCAAGAAACAGAGATCAATGACATCAATATACAAGAAAGATATAACCTTAATAAAAGATTAATTAATTTCACAATAGCAAATGTTATCTCATGTCCATCTATCAATAATCAACCAAGTTCCAGTTTCATCAGCAGACACTCATGGACAAGACCCACAACACGGATTGACACTCATACACGGTTTATGGGAAACGTTAACAAGATAAATTCATCATCGTATCCCTCACCTTTGTTAGTCTTAATCATTTTTGGAAGGTGCAGCATCTAACGAGCTTTTCACGCTAGTTCTGGAAACTTAATTTATAAATGAAGTATGGAGTTCATCATTTATGACTTTAAACCATGCAAGAGAATGGCTTTTAGGTTGGGTACTTCCAAACAGACAAATAACATCATGTACCCATCACCAAAGTACAATGCCAACATTAATTAAAGATGAACAACATAACACACCTTGCTCGACAAGCTATGATAACAATCTCCAATATCATTAGATGGATAAATAACCCGCGATCTGAAATTACAAAATTTTGAGTTTAAAAACAGCACAGATTAGTTGAAAGCAGTAGTGAAGTGCAAAATGATGAAACACCCTCCCTACCCGGGCAAAGGAAGGACAACATCATGTATTGTGTACATTCCAGAAACTACTTCTTCTTCAGTCAGCACCTGCAGACAAAACATAAAATATCAAATCTGAAATTTAACCTTTCGAAGGAGAACAAACTTTAACATTCAAAAGATAGGAAAAGAAAGAGACCGAAGTTACATAAATTCCATTAATATGTATACACATGCATATACATACACATATGTGATGCCAATCGAGTGTCCATTCTAATAGCTCAAAAGACATCACAAAACATTGTGACAGATTCAAGGTTATTTATTCCCAAAAATGATTCTGGCCAGATGGTCAAATTCCTACAGTTAATCAGAATCACACCTTGTAAGGCAAAGATAAACAATGACAACACCAAAATAATTGATGAAATTTAGAAGGGCTCCAAAGATCTCTTGCCAACTTGTCAGCCAATTACAATGTGAATGTACAAGTATCTACAAATTCTTCTAATTATTTATGTACACTCTGAAGCCGAAATCTTTATAAACAGAAACCCCTTTCTTCTCAATGAGATGTTTCTTTGCTTCTGTGGATCAGTGCGAAGTCCAGAAAGAGACATGCAAATAAAACTGTAAAAGCAACTTAAAAAAGAAAAAAGGGAGGAAAAGGAAGGAAAAGAAAAAAGAAACTCTTACATACAAGTCAGTTTTTACTTGAACGACCACTAAAGTATCGGTTACTAGATCACGAGACCCCGAATACTTGCCTTTACTGAAGTTTCTTTTTCTACTGGAAGATCGATCTCAGAGATAGCATCTACGTCTTCCCGATCATTGGAATCATTCGGAAGTTCACATTCAGAATAATTTTCAACGAGTTCTTTATCTATTGTTTGTTTTTTGCAATACACGAGATCTCCCGCCACAACACGGTCAATTCCTGAAAAACATGATCAAATTCCCAAAAGGGGAGAAAAAGAAGAGGATTAATATTTCTGATTTTGTTCATTGCAAGCATTTTTGCCATATGTTGTAAAAAAGCTACATCATTCTCCTATAGCTATACTTTCCACAGAAAAACAACAATCTGCATGGGATCACTAGTGCTTTACAAGCTAGAAAGCTCAATGTAACATTTACACATACCATACTTTTGCACCCTCATGCTAGCAGCATGGTTCCATATATAGCTTTGGTAACTATGTACGTACCTGCAAAACAGAATTCCAGCATGTTTTGAATTGTTTACAGAATTTGTTAACCAGAAAAAAAGATAAATTGTTTATAGAATTAAAGGAACAAGAAAGTAGATACTTCAGATCATAATTTGTTGACAGGGACCATGGGTGAATGAGGGTTATTTTGGGGGCAGTTGCGAGAAAGACAAACGGATAAATAAATGCTAATGATGCTGATGGTACTAACAAATTTTCATCTAGGTAGAAGTAGATGACACAGCATTTTGCATTTTTCCACTAAATTTTCTACTCACAATATCATAACGTAAGTGCATTCCCAGGTGGATGTTTACATAGAAACTGATGCAGAAAAGCCTGTAACTAAATACAAGCATTTCTCCATCGCCAAAAATAGATAAAAAGAAATTGGTAAGAAGATCAATGAAAGAGTTAAACTGCCATCTTATGCAGTCAAATTGACAAGCAATCAAGCCAAGGTTAATCCAGATCCTCTATCAAGATAAACATGGAGTTGCTTATGGAGAAAGCATTCTTCTCAGAAACCTTGCAACTTCAATTTTAGGTCAAGCAGAGTTTCATAAGGTGCAGCTCCATATAAAAGGTCACACCAGAAAGTCAATATGGATACAAGCAGGAAAGCGTAATATCCGCACCATAAGACGTGACTTTCCCTATGATAAGTTGGGAAATTTCAAGCTAACAGCATTCAATTTCGCATAAAGAAAGCTACACAGAACCCATAATAGTAAGGCATGTGAGGCTGCAGCTCCCCAAAAACACAACAGGCCTTATTCAGAAATTCATCTCAAGTCGCTCTAGAGTTACCTATCTTTGGGAACATAAATACCACAATGACCAGAAACAAGCAAAAGGCATCAATGTATAAAGTTTCAACAAGCATTGGACCAAAAGGTGGAAAAAATTCAAGGACCACCAAGGTATACACTGAGATGCTGATCCTTCTGCGCCTAAGCTAGCTCCAGGGGTATAAAATGCTGAGCACTATGATCAAGGCAAAATATTGATTTCATTAAGTTCAACTTACATCATTCTAAGTGTCCTTGGTATAGCTTTCAGAGCTTGTAAGTAGTTCTCTGGACTTCTTTTTAAGCACTGAAGCTGAATAAAATAGAAGGAAAATCAATTAATCAAAGTGAGGACAATAAATAGCATTTCATCTGGAGTTACTTAAAAGGATTTCAAAGCAAAAGGAAAAAAGAATCACCAGTACCAAAAGAAAACAGAAAGTAGAAGAGACGAGCAGTTAAAAAAAAAACCTTAAGGATATGCTTAGAGCTTTCCTACTTCATAAACATGTACCTGGAGAAGGAATTGTGCCACTAATAGGAGCAATATGCTTACAAGTTCGCGAATAGCAAAATAAGAATTCACCAAGAAAAAGTCAATTATGCAGACAAACATCTTGTGATATGATTCTGGAGGATTTCCAGATATCCAAAGTGAAGAAGGATATATTTCCTCTACTCCGCAGACAAAAAGTTTTGGGGTTTTTGCTTTATTTCTGTTAAAATTTCACAAAAGCAGTGGCATTTCTGGAAAAGTTCCTTTTTTTTGTACTTGATTCAGCCTGAATTACAACTACAAAATTACTGGCATCAACAATAAATAAAGACTTGAAGCTGACTAATGAATCTATCCGGGGAATCAAAATTCAATGCCAGGATAAGCAAAATACAGTTTTTCTGAGGGGCACAAGAGTCCCATAACTGATATGGTACTTTTGGATCATTGTCTAGCTCTGAGGGGCACAAGAGTCCCATAACTGATATGGTACTTTTGGATCATTGTCTAGCTCTGAGGGGCACAAGAGTCCCATAACTGATATGGTACTTTTGGATCATTGTCTAGCTCAATCATCCGAACATTCAACGAAGAACAAAAAGCATTAACACTATTTTGATATCCTGCCCCACCACATCAGCCTCTAATACTTTTACTTCATATACAAAATTTAGATTTTGCGCTAAGAGTGATTGTGACCAGAACAATCCCAAAAACAGATCTCATGAAAGAAAAGGAAATACAAAAGGGTTATGGATAAGGCACCTAAGTTAGGGGCGAAAATTATTATCTGCACGGTTTTAGTCAGTCTTCATGCAATTCAATTCCTTAAGCAAGGAAAAACTAAAAGCGTCAAGTGAAAATCGGATTAAATATAAAGTACAAACCATCTCAACAATGACTTAAGTTCGATAGTGTAACATTAAAGGTAAGCTCTGATCCCTCTTATTTTGCATTTAAACCAACACACAGTGTTCCTTCTGATACAACTCATATTTATGTTCAACCATCAGCAGTCCATATAAATCTATATTACGAATTATGTTCACTTCACGAATCATGATCGATGACTACATACAATCAGATAATGGTAGGCTAATTATGACTTCTCCTTAGATTATATTAAGAAAAGTAGGAAAAACTCCTCATAACGGATCAACAGAATATAAAATTCTCCTTAAATTAGCAATTCCAAAAAGGTAGCACTTCCCTTGGACTCTTTTCCGGAAACAAATTTGAAACCTTAAATTCTCCTCACATTCAGAAGAATTTGCAGAATATTAGAAGAGAGCCAATACCACCGGATATGCTCAATTATTGATACAAGCTGTTTCACATCAGACTATTAAGGCTTTTTTCTTTCCCCGCTTAAAACTTTACAGATAATGAAGCTGCCAACTCTGTTCTAAAGAAATTGTACTTTGGAAATAAGGAAAAAGAAAATAGCAGAAGAAATTGAAAAGTTAACCAAAAATAAAATAATAATGCTGAAGATAAAGTAAAAAGAAGAATTTTATCACTTAATGCAGCAAAACTTATCCCGTTCAAGAAAGTTCTTTTTCAATTCTCACAACTATTCTCGATAAGCACGTAGATTAATAAAGTAGGAAGAAGATGAAACTTACTATTGCCTTTTCAGCAACTAGATGACGTGGTAGTTGCCTCAGGGTCCCTTCAACATCACCAGTCTCCTTATAATGTTCCCTTACTCTTTTTATATCATCCCTTTGTAAGAAAGATAGCTAAGGAAATTATGTACACCAAATTGACTAATCATATTGTAAGGGATCGAAAATGTGCAAATGACCATGTAAAGGATATCTCCTACTCTTGGATCAAGGATCAAGCTGACAGCGTTCTTCCATTCCCCGCGTAGTAAAGCAGCACCAATAAGGTGGGTGGGAACAGAACTACTACCAAATCTCTGAATTGCACATGAACAGGCAGAAAGAAAAGATGGTTTAATATAAATCTACCAGATCAGGAACTTATGCACCATCGAACTAGGAAACAGTACAGGTTCAGGTAAAACAGAGTTATACAAAAAGATTCAATGCGAAAAAAAGTTCAATATCGTATTATCATTCCATCATTCAAGAAGTATTAGATTCAAGTATGTCTCAAAATTCCACAACGCTTAATTTTTTTTACATTCAAAGCGTACATCAAAATACTGTATCAATTTACAAGAAAGACATAGAGCTCACTTGCAAAAGATAAGCCTCACACCCCACGAATTTGTGCATACTGTACATTTCTCCTACTTCCATTGAATAAACAAAAACAAGATACGTAAAAGAATATCCAAACCCAGCACATTATGCCAGCTAGATTGACGCCATCTACACAAACCTCAACAGTACTGTAACTGAATCATTGATTAATATCTCAACTTCCAGCCAAAGTTCCCAACAAGAAAGTTAAAATTCGCAAGAAATAGTAGCACCATAGCTTATCAAAATCATAAAATTTACACTTTAAAGATTTCAGATTCCAGGAGTATCCATAATAGTAAATCTCATTATCCTACTGTAGAAAGTGTCCAGGTGAAGATAAACCATGACGTGTACTCATACTGTACCATTTAATTATGAAAGAAGCAGAAAAAAAAAAGTGAAAACCAAATCAAGTAATTTCAAAAATAAAAGGAGCTCAAGAGTTAATGTAAAAAACATTACTAATAGAAATTATGTACGACTGGGAAAATTAGTAAATCATGCGCAGGTATGCATGGTTAAAACAAATCAAGAACTACCCGGGACAGAGGCATTGTTGTTACTTTTCTAGAATTATAAAATAACAGTTTTACGAAGATTTTTGTGTGTATGATGATCCTAATTGTTGAGCTCTCTTAATTTTATATCCGAGCTCCAAATTCTGCATTTACACCTCTTTTATCCAAGTTTGAGAGCAGAAAAACCAAACATTTTGGTTTAACAGCTTTGTAAACTAGTCAGACTGTTTTAACCGAATGCCACTGTGCTGTAGACATGTTTTGATGGTTTTTGTTTGGTTTACCTTATAATCGACTTGAGGAACTAATTTAAGCACGCTATGGGTTTTTGTCACGAGCTAGAAGCAAGGAATTCAAATACCTTTTTCCCTATTTAATGTGCTTACTAATAGCTTTAGAATTATTATTATTATTATTTTATTATGTCAAAAATGTTATGTCATTCAAACTGCATGCTTCGTTTGGCATACATTAGTAGCTAGTGTATGTGATCCTATTTCAGCCATTTCATTTCTTGTGCTTTCATATTCAGCATTCTAACATACCCTTCGCAGTTTATATTTTCAACAGCCATCGATGAGAAAATTATGGCTTGTTGTATGACAATCTGGGATCTAGGGTTGATTACGATGCTCCTTAAGAAATTTAATATACCTGCAAACCAAAATAGTTGATAAATCCAAGTTCTCCCAAAGCATTTGCAGATGCTCGTATAATATCTTCAGATTCCGCAACCACTCCTCTGCAGAAGTTAAAAACAACATTATTTTGAAATGATTAAAGAATTAAATTCTTCCATTTGAAATGAGGACGGGAAAACAAAAAGGAATTGAAAAGAGGTGGAAATTATGGAGAAACATTTGAAGGAAATGTAGACAAACAAGAACCAATTTTGTTTATTCTTTCTCGTAAATTGTTCTTGTCTGAATTTTGCGAGTGATTTGCATCTCTTATCAGCTTGGACTCCTCTCGAAAGGCTGTTTGAAAGGTTATTATCATATATTTCAGCGATATTTTGAAATCAGGCATGATAAGGAGAACAGGAGTAAATTTCAGAACTGTTCTGAAAGTTGGGGTAAAATGAAAGCTGGGGAGAAGCTATTGATCAAAGCTGGTCTGTTCTGTCATCCAATGGTTGTCTAAGAAATGGGTAAGAGATTCAGATAGACGTGAGAATATGCAAACACTATTATTTCATTCTCATAAATGCAATACACGAGATTTTTCAATCTAATCAATTCTCAAATAATTGAGTGTGCTTTAAATTAATGGGGCGCCTACAGCACGTGCCTTAAGAAATAAATCATTATTAAATGCTTCTAATATAATTCACAAATCCTTATAATTTTACAAGTCATATAAAGTGTTAAAGTTGAGAATATGTGTCCATGAAACATCCAACTCCATATAAAAAAGTACATTCGACCCAAAACTGAACATGAAACCAATAAGTTCATTGTGGTTTATAAACCACGAACAAATGTTGAGATGCAGTGACGTTTACGTTAGTCTTATTCCGGATTATTCAAAATAACAGGGTCTCTTCAGTTTTTAACTATACTCAGACCAGTTAGCAGGTTCCCAAAGTCACAACATGGATTTCTACCATACAAATACTCTGACGCTGCACAGATCAGGACTCAATTTCAGTTATTGGACTCTATCACTAACACCAGTCTTGTTCAAAGCTGTTGTTTGATAGAATCTTTATGCAAAGTCTTTCTTCAATGGTGGTTTAACCAAAACTGAACCATATGCCTACATAATCCACTCGGGATGGTGCATGATGGTAGGATTATTTTGTATCGTAGACAAGCACAAGTATTTGCAAGTATTATCAATATGCTTTTTACCTTAATGTAATTGTAAAATGATTTCCTTGGAGCTGCCCAAGAGTAAGCCCTTCATCAACGTGGCTGTTACAACATTTCAAATGTGATTTTAAATCCCATCAGAGAATCAAAAAAACAAAAGGAAAGAAAACAACACGAATCTTTGTTCTCACCAGAAGTCTCCGACTTTGATGCCAATTAGTCTTTCATTAAGAGAGGCTAGTCTACTTGCTCGCTGCTTAAAAATAGTTACCTAAAAAGCAAAGACAGGAGCATGATATTCTTCATATGAAATCCAAAAAAGAAAATGGACGAAAAAATGAAAAAAGTCCAAAAAAGAAGACGATTACTGGGATTTCCAGACTTAGGATAGTCGGAACATACTTGGCATATAAGGATTTACAATGATTAGAAAAGCAAGCGAGTTGTCAGCATTCCATAATATGTCACTTAGATGATCTTATTTTATTATGAACAACAGCCCAGAAGTTGTAAAAGATATGATGACAACCTCCTACAAGAAGAAAGATGGATTCAAATGATTGCACATGAGCAAGCAAACAGACTTCCACTCAGAAACAAAAGCGTAAGCCATCCACTTCCCATTTCCTGGGGAACAAATCTTTGTTTATTATCTTCAAGGACCTTTACAAAAAATCCATGCAACTCCACTTTCTATGTTTCCTTAGTATATCATCATGTAGTTCTTTCAGCAAGTTGAAGCAGCATTCTTTGAATCATGTTTCTTACTCAGATTTGTAGCTCTAACTTTGAAGTAGCTAATAAAAAGATGCAGAGAGCAAAAGGAACTACTGAAGTAGCTAATAAAAAGAACTACTGAATTAGCTAACTTTGAAGTAGCTGATAAAAAGAACTACTGAATTAGGGAAACAAGCAATATTCAAGAGGAAAAACTCCAAAAGGAAGAAGGCAAAAAAATGAAACTACGTTACCCTTTGAGTTGAAACGGAGCGCTTGTCTTTTGTACCAGCAAATCCAAAGGATCTGGGCTGAAAGGAAACTCCAGAATCTTAGAATATGACTGAGGTTCCAATGTATTAGCTTTTTGAGACATGACATCTTCATACATATTACACATTAACTAATTGAATGTGAAATAAACATCAGCAATTCTAATATGGGTGAAAAAGGGGTCCTGGCCTAGAGGTAAGGCTCTGTTGATCTCCAAGAGGTCCAGGATCAATTCCCCATTGGGGATGGGTCATGGGGACCAATTCAAACATGGGTATGATAAACAAAGAACAAAGGATCCGGTACATCTTTTACTGATAAATAAAACACCTTAGCAAACACAAAAATAAGTCTTTTCAACAGTGGTAAAAAGATTTTTTTTCCTAAAGTAGTAAAAACTCTACCAGAGATGAAACTGATAACTAAATTTTCAACAAAACGCAATGAATGGCTTTACTACTCAGATACTTGACATAAAACTTATCTGCCTCCACTATGAAATAGATAAAAGCATAAAATATACGTCATATACCTGAACGCCGAGCATTTTTCCAATAAGCCCAATTGCCTCCTGTGTTTCCTTGTTCTCCTTGTACAGATGGAACCTAGGATTTTGAAATGATAATTATTACTCGAACACTTGGGGAAAACAAAATCATCTAAGTAAATGTAAATGTGATAGACACTTGGTGAGAATTATATAAAGAAGTTTGAAAATCCCCACAGTATGACGCTCAACCTTTTTAGATCCCAATGTTTAATAGATGCAACAATATTAGTCAGTCGTCTTGACTCAAAACCAATATTCTACTCACAGAAGAAACAATTTACAGCTAGCCTAAGTCAAAATACACAATTTTCCAGACTAAAACTTTTCCAATTTTTATTTTACCCCCATCTCCTTTATCTTTGATTCATATCTGCACTTTGCAGCATGAATCATCATTTTCTTGGAATGAAATTTCAAATACTTTTTGCCAAATAATAGAAAAGAACCATATAATAGAAAGGAAATACATCAATGTTGAAGAATATGAAACAAGTGTTACCGAAGAAATTTTCCAAGGGACTCTGGCCAATTAGCCGAACCTCTACTGTCATATGGTTTGTCATCTCTATCTTTTCTCTTCTTGCAGCGCTGTCCTTTCAGATTCCTTCCAACATTTAGTCTCACTCGAATGCATTTTGTTGAAGCATCAGGTCCATCCACTGTGTCAGTAACAAGGAGTTTCAATCTCTCTTTGAAAAAGTTATGCACTGCCTGTAAAGCATTTAATAAATAATAAATAACAACAAAACTTTTATAAATGTTACGATAAAGTAAATCTGCAGATGGATATGTTCAAGCTAACCGTGCGATGAGCCTTATCAGAACTAGGGTTAAGTAAGATAGGTTCAATATCAGCTTCAACCCCAGAACAGATTTGGTCTAGAAAAGTTTTCAGGGTGTCAGCATTTTGTTCGCCAGCAAGAGCTCTAAAAGAGTCTATCTCATCCTTGTAGGTTATGTTTCGTAAATCAGAAACTGGAACTTCTTCTTCCTCTGCAAGCTGATACATCCACTTGTTATTTCCAAAATTATCGATACGAACCAGAAGAAATGAGAAGCACTATAACAAGTGTGAAGTCATACCTCCGCTGGAACTTCCAATGTCGTCAAATGCACAACATTTCCTTCCAAATTGACTTCATTGACAATAAAGTCTGAATATCTAAAACATGCATAAACCAAAAATAAAGGTCAGAAATCATGATCTTCGGCACTAGCTTTCGGACGCAAACATCCTAAAAAGACTAAGAAAAAGGTATAATTAGGAAGAAAACGAAAAGCAATAGTAAGAAGATAAAAACTATTGACAAGTAATAGAAGTACACATCTAACGTGGACACTTTATAACAAGAAGGTAAAAGCAAGGGAATAATATAAAGCACGCCTAAAGGTGTAACGTTGCACAGATTCGAATTGAGGGTTAGTTACCTATGACTGAAAAGTAAAATGCTGAAACAAACTATGCCATAAGTTGCACTCCAAAAGATAATGAAACTAAAATTTCGATTACAATTCCCAAAATTCCTGTTATTTATCAAACTGTTCATCAAAAACCCCCCAACTACTCACCTGTGATCAGAATAATTATTCACACTCTCTGTTTTTTCTATTATCTCCAAAACCCCACTATCTCCCCATCATATTATTCAAAAAGAAAAACAAAGCCTAAAATAAAACTCAGCAACCGAGCCATTCAATTCTCAGAAGAAAGTACATAAGAACTTGCCACTTCAAGGAAATTACGATTGTTACATGCAAAAATCAACACACAAACTGAAAAAAACAAAAATGTGCACCCATATCACATTAGAGGAAGTGAAAAGAGAAAGAAGCAACCTTTGCTTGAGGATTCCACGAAAGCCCGGAAACTGAGAAGTGTAGCATAATATTCCCACATCAGTTTCATCCATGGTTCACTAGGTTCACGCGGGAAAATCCTGCCTCTTTTTTTTTTTTTTTTTGTTTCTCTTCGTTTTGGGATTTGATTCTGGAAGAAATTAAGAAGGAGTAGAGGAGCAGAAGCAGAAGAAGAAGAGGAGCCAGCATCGATGAAGAAGGAAAGATTATTGGTTTAGGGATTGGGTTGAACAATTGTAACTGGGCTGGCCTTCAGTTAAACTAACTTTGGGCCTGAGAAATTGGTATGGAATCGGGTGTCATGACCGGAGTTTAACGGAACCATTTAGATTTCAGAATTTTATTTTCGAGGATTAAAGGAAAAACCATCCGAAAATAAATCTTAAACTAATTAATACTATGTCCTTGCTAAAACGAGAAACTCTAAAATAAACCCGAGTAGAAGAGAAGGAGCAATTCCTGACAATTTTCCCCTCTTCAAGACAGACTACTTGCTTGTCCTCAAGTCTGAAGAAACTAGCACATAAAACTCCCATGTGTCATAAGGCCATTCTGAACCAATGTCGTCAACTCAATCTTCAAAAACACAGTACCACCTCTGAACAAGGTCACCAATTTATCCTAACCAAAAGGTACTTCTATGTTTCTACATAATTGTTTGACTTTAAGATTAACAGGACAATACAATGAATCTCCATGTTGAAGAAGAATTGGTGAGGTTCCATCTATCTTTGGAACATATTTTAGTTGCAGGGATCTCTTGAGAAAAAAATTCAATTTAGCCCCATCACCTGTCATCATTTCGAAAGCTCCTGGCAGGACTTGTTCTTCATTTATTTCTTTCTCATCATAAGTGCTGCTCCCAGAAAAGAACTTGACATCACTTTTATCATGCTCCAGAGAAATAAAATTGGAGGAAACAACTTTGTTGAATATGAATCATTTGTTGTGGCAGGACTACATGTAAGCAGCTTGGGAAATGCAGGAACTCCATGGTGACGTATGTCCCAAAGTAAGCCAAATGAGCTGAATTGGATAGTTTCCAGCAATAGTGCACTAAGTTTCATAGAATGATAATAGAAATATGATCGCTTATTTTATCAAGGGAAAGGTAAACTCTTGCATCTCAGATTCAAGAAAAAGATTCCACTTTGGAAACTCCCGTAGAATATATTGCAGATTACTCTTGTCGAACACTTCACACATCGGGACTATTGTTTCAACATCTACAGCCACAGATGTGCAATAACACGAATAGGCAGCAACCCAGCCATCAATTGTAATTTGATGCTGTATGAATGACTCAACATCTGCAGGAAAGAAACCAACCAAGATTTACATATCTGCCTTTTCCTCTTCTCGTTTCGGCATTAAACAAAATTTACTTCAACTTTATCAATTCCTCTACCTCCTTTAAAGGCAGTAACTACTTTAACCCATGAAATTCTAATACAATTGTTTAGGAATAGATCACCTCTTCCCTAACAAAAGAAACAGCACCATAATTGTTCTTTTTTGAAGTTTCCCAACTACATTCATCAGACCAAATTTATCATAATCAAAGAAAACTTTAATGGAAATTACAGCCATTTCAGAAGTTGAAATTGCACCTACAAGCAACCTTTGATTGATAGATGTGAGAATGTGAGGCCCTTCATCCTTTTCGCCTATGATCCATTTTGCTCTGCATTTATGTAATAGCTAACTTCATAGAGTTTACCTCAACACATAGTTTCATCAATTTTATGGTGCAAGAACCATTGTTGGCAGAAAAATCTTTCTTGATCTATCATGTCATTTTTCCTAACAACATTTACCAACAGGTTTGCCCCATACTTCTGAAGAGTACTAGTAAAGTCTATCAAGAATGTCTCCAAATATACGGTATAATTCGGATTTAATGTGATACCAAAAAAATTAAAACCAGCATCAATATGATTCACTACCAATAAAACACCACAAATTAAAGCATATATTCTGATATCAAACCAAGAACTATTTCTTGTCGCGAGAATGTCTTTTGACCAATATAAGGCAGCCGCTTCATCTACTCGCAGGAATTTAACTTCTTGAAAAATCATATTCCCATTGAACCTAGTGACTACTTCTATACCAGTAGTAATTTGGATCATCATAAGACTTTTAGATGTTGATTTGTGGTCTAGTTCGGTACTTGTCTTGGTTTTTTGCAAGCTTTTCAAATAAAATTCAATAGATGAGAAGAAACAACTTAATCTTTGTCTAACTCTGTATAGCACACTACCCCGGCATTCAAGAGAAATGGAATTTATGAGAGCACTTCTATCGTGAACCCTTGGCCTGATCAAATATAAAGCTAAATCACAACTTTGGCATTCAACTGCCCACAAACCAGAATGCAAGAGATTTATTTCATGTAAAAACATCTTTTCATTCTCCAAAAAGGATCTATTAGCTCTACTATTTTGGCATTTAACAGGTTGATGATATGCCAACAAAATAATTATTCCTGAAGTTTGCAAAAGGTGAAACTGAGAGTTGAGGGCTCCTTGAGCAGTAGTGCTTCTTTTGAAGCAAGTTCTTTCAGACCAGGGTTGGTACCCTTCATTTTCAAGACATGGAATAACTCTAACATGTTCTAATTCACTGGAAGATCTTAGTAATACAAGGATCCAAAAAGCATCAACACCACTTCCAAACCAACTAAGGGTTTTCCCATTAAAATCAATACCAACATTGTCACCATATAGATCATGCAATATCACACATTCTTCATCCAAAATCTCACTACTTTTGTCATAAAGATGTACTAATCCTCCATCAATCAAAATCCATGTAAATTACCTTTCCCCCTTTAAAACCAATCATAAATTTATCCCACAAACTAACCAAGTTTCTCATTTTAGAAATTATTATAACCTCACCAATACTTCTATACTCATAATCCTGTCCGTAGAAATCTGATATCAATCAATCACATTGATGACTTTCATCTCCATAATAGTGGCGAAATTTTCAGAATTAGAAGGTATTAATTCATCATCTATGTTGGTTCTGATGCTTAACATGCTTCCTTGGAGTCATAGTTTCTCCTCTAAATAAAGCAAAAATAACAACCCATGAATTTAAGATTTGATGAATTTTGAGATGAACCAGAACTTCCCGTAGAGAAAAACTAAGAAAGCATACCAAAGCTCCAAATTGACTCCAATGCAGCAATAAAATAATTTTCATACAAGGATATATTCTTTTAAGACTTTGATCACCTTCGAAAATAATTTTCCAGCTATGATCCAAGCCATTTGAATCCAGATACAAAACATCCATAACACATATTCACAAACAATACCATGCTGCAAACGACCTTTCCAATCATAGCTAAAGATTCCAACTTCTAGAGAATATGCAACTTTCAAAAATAAAGACTGTATTTGAGTTCCTCCTTTAAACCTTAGTAAAACTCCCTTCCATGACTTACAAAGTATTGTTTCACAGTCATTAATGGTATTCATTACTACCAACTCATCCAAATTAGTTGAGAAGTATTGAATTCCAAACTCAACCATATAAAAACCAATTTTTTTAGACAAATTTAAGACATCCCAATCTTCAATCACAGTCATAAAATTTTTCAGTGTCGGAATGATTATTCTCAATCTCATTTGTCACCTGAAAATTAAGAGAAACCTTACCACTCGAGGATGCCGATGATGCTGTGATTGCTTTATGCTTGGCCTTTCTTGGAGGCTTGGGGTTCATTGCAACAACTTCAGACGCACCAAACTTTTGGATTAAACTTTCCGAGAAAATTTCCCATGAATGACACATTTCCCTCTCCTTCTCGAATTCATTGAACCGCGTCCAAGCTTCATCCTGATAGTATGGAATCAGGACAAAGACTTCTGTTGGACGGGGGATTTTGGACCTTTTCCTATATTTTTTTGGAAACTCACTTTAACTGGATTTTGGTCATTTTTCTTCTTTTTTTATTTCCCAATTTTCTTAGCGGGATCATACAATCCCTCTCCTAATCTTCAAAAGATTAGGATAAAGGTCCCAATTAATACCCAAAATTTACTCTTATATATATACACGCATGCTTCCTGGAAATTTTAGTTCCATTTCTCAATCTTGTATACAACAAAAGGAAAAAATTAAATACAAGAAGAGAAC